TGCGCCCCTTTCCTACAATGACCCCGTGGCTGCGGAGACCGGCGCGGCCGCGCGGGGGGGGGGGTCCACATGCGGCGGCCGGGGGCAGTCGAGGTGTTGCGCCACGCCCGATTGGAGCCGCCGTTTCCGACGGACCCATAGCACAAACACGACGTCCCACAAACAGTCGTTTCGCCACAGTCCAGGAGCAATGCGCTTATTGGCGCGAGCGTAAGCGGGAGCAGGCACGTAAACGCGTCCGGTCCAACCTTCTGGCCGCGTCCGTGAAAAGCCACGTCCACTCAGGCGGCGGTGATTCTGACTGGGACAGCGTCAGTGCGTGTAGCAATCCTTCGTCTTTCGCGTCCGTTGCGTCTGACAGCGATGACGTCCAGCCAGATTTGTTTCGAGATAGCGTTGGCGACTGCTGCTCGCTCGCTCCAGCCAGTTTGTTTCGCAAATGCCGCTGCCGTTGCGACGGGGCCTGGCGATGATACCTTCCGCGTTCTCGCGAGCGTCATAACTGCGTAGGAACCCGTAGCCGAGAAAATGTACGTCTTGGGCCGCCAGGCGGCGCATGTCACGCAGCTGATAGACACGAAGCTGTATTTCCGACGCCTGGATGGCCGCGGAGCTCAGGCAGGGGCCGAGGAATTCGACCGTATGGCCGAGCACCCCGTGTGACATGCGCCACAAGAGTTGTCGATTCCGGAGGGTTCCCGAGTCGTCGGAAGGATACTCCTGATCTCAGAGAAACATTTGGAGCAACCGCAGTCACTTCATGAATGCAGGGCCCGTGTCGTGCCATGGGCAACGTCTTGTTCGACGAGCGTTTGAAAGTAGTACGTTCGCTCTCCGAGTCGCTATGGGCACCCGTAGCTACCTTTACCGGCACTCGTTTCGTCCAGGCACGCTCTCTCGCAATGCGTCACGAGACGAAGACCATCGGTTCTTTTCACTGCGTATCTTCAGGTACAGCTTGGAGGAGAGGAGGTGTATTACATCATTATTCCGCCGAAGTCGTCGACATCGTGCCGCCGCACGTCCAACAGCAGCTCCGTTCTGTGTAGATTGGTCCGGGCATTGCGTGGTCTTCAGCGTTCCGGTTTGGAAGTCGTAACTGCATTCACCCAGTGGCTCCTTTGGAACAAGTGGCAGTTCATGGAAGAGGAGCTGGCTGTCGTCGACCTCTGGCACGGGAAGTCCGATCGTGAAACTATGCATCGCGCTGCCAAGCTGAAAGTGTGGATCGATACAGAGCACGCTGCTGGCAGGAATCCTTTCTCTGACGGCTCGCAGCCCAGCCGCGCGTCGTGGCTTGGCGTGTTCCTGCTGTCCTCGGCCTCGTCGCAGCGCCGTGTGCGGCGGAGTTCCAAGCAGTGCATCACTATGGCAACCTACGTCGGTCAGTGCGAGCTGGGCGCTGGCAGACGCCACCGTGCCCACGTCTGGGACGTCGTCAGAGTAGCCTTCAGCAGCAAGGCCCCGGAGGTGGTCCGCAAGTTCCTTGGCTGCTCGCGCAGCGTACTTCGCCAGATGAGTGTTGCTGATGGTCGGGCAGGAGTCGCCGTCGTGATGTCGCAGTCGGAGCACTGCCAGAGGATCGTCCGAGACTACGAGGCGGTCGTCGGGTACGGCGTGCGACCCGTCGCAACACCAGCGCAGTGAACGACCCCTCCTGGACCAGGAGATCTGGCGCCATCAGAGGCTGAACCTGTCGCCGTAGAAATATGGGCGAGGCTTTCTGCGCAACTCGTTGGAGTAGGCCGGGCTTCTCGTTTGCAGTTGGCTGTCTCGCTCGGCATGCCGATAAATGGTGCGCTTGGGCAGAGGCAGAGCTTCATCACTTCGTCGGATGCGTCCTCTTCAGCCCGGAGTGCGGCCTCGTGATGTTATTTTCCGGAGATCCTTGGGGCGATTTGGGGCTTCATGCCTGGGGCGACGCAGATTTCTCTGCGCCCGAGGCGCCGCGGGCTCCTGCCTGGAACTGGCCAGCCCGAAGGGTTCCCAGCGCCCGCTGGCCCGGGGGGCTGCCATGCAAGACTGCGCGACAACTAGTGCTGGCGAGTCGGAAGCGCTCGCCTGGAGGAAAACGGCGAAACGAGGCATCAAGTTTGCAGCCGTGATCGAGTGCACGCGTGCCGCCCGGGTCGTCGTCTGTGGCCACCTCGGCAACCGAGCCGCTCAGGTCGCTTTCCAGAAAGGGCATGGCCGAAAATTAGGGCACCTCGAGAAACGCGCGGGGGTGAGCTTGCTAACCGGCGCGGGGTACTGCCAGAACGCACCAGAAAACATCGGCGATGAATTCGCGAAAGCACTCGGACACGACGTGTCGTTGTACCTCGTCGGTAGGCTGTTCGGTGTTCCTGTTGCCCAGTTTTCTGATGGTTCGGTGAATGCTGGGATGCTAAGGTTGGCCATGCCGGTTGCGTCTTCGCCATCATCGTTAGCGGCGCCTGGGGAGCGCGTGGAGATGTTCCCAGGGCAGAGGGTGGTCGAGCGCGCCGCTGGGGCCGTGACGTTGGACAACGCCCAGTGCTTGGGGCAGCTTTCCGGACAGTGCGACGCGAACCAGCCACTTCAGGCCGAGCGGCGCGAACAGCTGTTGGATCTCCAGGGTCAACAGATCTGGAAGGCCGACCGCCTTCGCGAGCGCATCTGGGCAGACGCGGCCGGCGCGGCCGCCAGGGGGGCAGGTGGGGGTCGCGCTGCTGCGCCGCGGCCGACTGGATCCGCCGGGTAGCGCGCCGACGTATCCGCGAATGTACCGAAGTGGGTCGCCAGCCACTAGGGGCACGAGCGCAATCGCGCCAGGGCAGACCCTCGCCCGGAGCTCGTCCCGGACGCGCCGCAGGGCGCCAGCCCGGAGCTGCGGGCGCGTGTCTTGCAGGTTGTGATCGACCAGTGCCTGCGCGACGACGTGTTCACGGCGCTGGTGAACAATCCGCTTAATCCGCTTGCTGGGGCAGAGGAGACGCAGTTCGGCATCCAGCGCGAGGCCTGTTGCTGCCAGTTGTGGGCGGAGGTCGGTCGCAGGGTCCCCGGTGCAATCGCAATGGCGTCGGAGAAGAGCGTTTCGTTGCTGCCTCTCCGCCCCCGCGAGGCCCCTGTAAACTCGCCCGCAAGCCTCCCGACGAGGCGCAAAAGGCCCGGATGCGGAGCAACTGGGCAGCGAACGGACGTGCGCCCAAGGACGCGCCCCAGCACGCCACGCCGAAAAGCAAGGCGGTCCCGAAAAGGTTCCCTGGTGCAACTTCCAAGGCTGCCGGCGCTCCTCTGGCGTCCCGGTCTATTGAGCTGGGAGTTTACTGAGTGTCCGCATCTAGGCTCTGATGTGATAGTCCATGGAGAGAGTAGACGATATTTCCATCCAGTTAGTTCTGTAGTCTGTTCTCCTTTCTACAAAGAGAATAGACTCTACCCCCCCGGCGTTATCCGCCCCCCTTTCGGGTATGTAGATCATATTTGATTCTGACCACATGTCCATCCTAAATATGATTTTACACATTAAAAATGAATTTACACAATCCGAAGGGGGCCAGTATCGGCCCCCCAGAGGTTCCTTTCTAAAATTCGATGCGCGGGGGCATCTTTTGTTCAAACATAGCACTTCTTCACGAATCCCTGGCGACAAATGGGACGAAGTGCACGCGCGCGCGTCGTCGCGCGCGCGTGTGCCGAAATCCTCCAAAGACCTTCGGTGTCGGAAGGATTTCGCAGTCGAGTTTCCAAAAACATGCAAAACCACAGGGTTTCGCAACACTGATTTGCTTAAAAAAGCTTACCCGCGAGCTCTTGCGACATCTTAAGAAAACCATGAATATATACAGATTTTCACACAATGCTAACAAACGGGCTTCGCGCGCGCATGTCGAAATCTGTCGAACGCCCTTGCGCATGTGCCGTCGCGAGAATATTTTGCAAAAGACGGGACGAAGTGCAGACGCGCGCGTCGTCGCGCGCGTATGCCGAAATCCTTCAAAACCCATCGGCCTTGGAAGGATTGCGACATCGCGTGTCCAAACAACCTACAAAAACACAAGGTTTCGCAACACGGGTATTCAACAAAAGCGTGCGCGGGCGCTCTTGCGTTGTCGTTGTCGTCGTCGTCGCCGCCGTCCTCCTTCCTCCCGCGTCGTCGTCGTCGTCGTCGCCGCCTACGTCGTCCTCTGTCCTTCCTCGTCTTCGTCGTCGTCGTCGTCGTTCTCTTTCGCGTCGTGGTCGTTTCCGTCGTCGTTGTCGCCGTGGTCGTCCTTCCTCCTCCTCCCTCGTCGTCGTCGTCGTCCGTCGTCGGCGTCTCGTCGTCGTCCCTCCTATTTCGTCGCCGTCGTCGTCGTCGTCGTCGTCGTCGTCGTCGTCGTCGTCGTCGTCGTTGTCGCCGTCGTCGCCGTCGTCGTCTTCTTTTCTCCCTCGTCGTTGTCGTCGTCGGCGTCGCCGTCCTTTCTCCTTCTTCGTCGTTCGCGTCGTCGCCGTCCTCCATCCTCCCTCGTCGTTGTCGTCGTTGTCGTCGTTGTCGCCGTCGTCGTCCTCCCTCCTCCCTCGTCGTCGTCTTCGTTGGCGACGTCGTCGTCGTCTTCGTCGTCGTTGGCGTCGGCGTCGTCGTCGTCTTCGTCGTCGTCGTCGTCGTCGTCGTCGTCGTCGTCGTCGTCGTCGGCGTCGTTGACGTCGTCGTCGTCGTCGTTGTCGTCGTCGTCGGCGTCGTCATCGTCGTCGTCGTTGTCATAGTCGTCGTCGTCGTCGTCGGCGTCGGCGTAGGCGTCGGCGTCGTCGTCGTCGTCGGTGTCGTCGTCGTCGTTGTCGTCGTCGTCGTCGTCGTCGTCGTCGTTGTCGGCGTCGTCGAAGTCGTTGGAGACGTCGTTGGTGTCGTCGTAGTCGTTGTCGGCGGCGTCGTCGTCGTCGTTGTCGCTGTCGTCGTCGGCGTCGCTGTCGTTGCCAGGTGCCATTTTGTACCCACCGTCACGGGTTTATGAGATTTTGCAAACCAAGTTGCGGGTGGGTGGGTGGGATGTTTGCGCGAGCAGTGGAGTGGACAACTCACTGCGAACAGAAATTTGTAGCCGACCCTTAGACTTTGTAACATATCGCACTGTATTGGCATCGTTTGTAAACGTAGAGTTTTTAAGCCCGGCGCGTGTACTTTTTCTCTGCGGGTGCGCGTCAGATTCCCTCTCTCGTCGTCCTGCCCTCCATCAGTTGTGTTACCCAGCCCAGAGGAGAAGCCTTTGCAGAGCCGACCCCCCCCTGCGCGGTCGCCGCAGGCTCGCGGCGCGGCGAGGCGGCGTGCGGGGGGATTGCCGCGCCCTGTGCGTGGCCCACGGCCCCCCAAAAGGGCCGCCGCGCGCTCCCGCAGCTCCTCCTCCTCCTCGTCCTCCTCGTTCTTCTCTGGCGGCGGGGCAGAGGCGCTCGCCTTCCACGACGGCTTTCCAGAGCGGGGGCGTCCTCGCCAGGGCGCCGCTCGCCTCCCCGCTCTCGCGTCAGGCGGGGCGCCGTGGCAGGCCAGATCAGCCCTGCACCCGTGTGTTTTCCAGTATCGAGTTGTCAAGCGTCGCAAGCATCGTGCGCAGAACTCTCCGAACGCCCTTTCTCTGCTCCCTCCTCCTCGTGTCCTCCTCATCATCATCCTCGTCCGCTTCGTCCCCCTCCTTTCCCTCCTCCCAGTCGCCCTCCTACTTCTCCCTCCCTTCCCCTCCTCCCCCCGCCCTGCGCCTTCCTTCAATCTCCCTTCCCCTCCCCCTTCTGCTGACCGCGCCGCGTGGTGAGTCAGTGGCGAGTCGGGGTCACCGTGCGCATGTGTGACTCGAGTCGTTCTCTGAGGATGTCTCGACCGACTGGGGCCTCAAGTTTCCCACCTCCGTGCGGTGATGGACCGCGCGGTGAAATCGTCGGGGATTCCGAGGTCACCGCGCGGTTGGGTCCCCAAAGATGCATCCTCCAGGGTCGCCTGCCTTCAGATAGTCCCGAAATATCCTCATCCCAAATTTCCCTCATCCTGCCTTTGTCTTGCACCGTGCGGTGTCGGGAACCAGTGCCGACGTCATCGTGGCGGGGACCCGCCGCACTTGTGGTCAGCCAGTTCAGTCAGTTCCCCAGATGCATACTCCAGACCCCGTCCGCCGCCACACGGTTGTGGGGCCTTGGAAGGTGGCACGAAATACGAAGGCAGTCTCGCTTCGCACGCCGCGGCCCTCCACCCGCCGCGGGCCCGCCCGATCACGGCTTCAAGCGGAAACCTGGTCCAGGGGAAGGGGTTGTGGTGTGGGACCCGTGTCTTTACAGGTGACGAACGGACAACACACGCCCATACGCATACGGCAGGCTTGCGCCATGTCGACCGGCGGCGACCCCACCACCGGCGTTCAGCTTTGAACTCCGCTGGCGACCCAGATTCGGTCGATGTTGAACAATCTGACGCTTCGGAAGCGGCCGATCGTTCAAGGCTGAAGGCTCCCCCTGGTGTCAGAAACTAGCAGCCGAAGTCGGCACGACACGAACATAGCCAGTCCTCCTCCCTCCAATCTTGTTGTGTGTGTGTTTGTTTGTTTGTGTGTGTGTGTGTGTGTGTGTGTGTTTGTGTGTGTATGTGTGTGCGTGTGTGTGCGTGTGTGTGTGTGTGTGTGTGTGTCTTGTTCGTCTTTGGTGCCTGTCACAACCAGGCTCACTGCAGCGCGCATGCGGATCGCCTCTGCCGCGCTGCGACGTAAAAAATGTGTGCTGTTAGTTCGTCAAACGGAGTCTGGGCTTTACCCGAGATCCGATGTTGCAAAACAAATGCAACATCGCAAACGGAACGGAGCCCCGGACCCCATCGCCCTGCACCATTCTTCGAACCGCATCGATCTATGTATGAGGGTCCTGGGGCCCGAGGCTGGGCGCAAACACCCGTTGAGGAAAATTTGCAACGCCAGGATCCCAATCCCTATGCCCGCGCCCCAAAGGACGAAGAGGAGAACGAGGAGGAGGAGGAGGAGGACCACTATAAACCCAAGACCCATCAACGATGCTGGAATACACCCTCCCTCCAAGATCCCTCTTCGTAGGCCCCTACAAGGGGTCATTTCCTCCGAGGGACTTGCCCGTTGGGTGACAACCGTGTGAACATCTTGGAACGTGCCAACACACCAGTCTCAGGACTTCAACGCCATAGGTTGACCTGACGGTTACGTTCTGGCGACCCTGAATCACGCCAAAACACCTTACGTTTAACTCGAACACCGCGAATCAACGTAACTGTTGTGCCCGGACAGTCCTGAATGGTTCCAGCACGCCGTTTTTGTGACGTTAACCATGACAAAGGTTTAAAGTTAATGTGCGCGGCGCTAAAGCGAGAGCCACATGTTGTAAACGAACCGCCCTCGACCCGTCAAGCCCTCGCAACTTTTCAAAAGAAACGAATGTGGGCGGCGCTCAGACGAGAGCCACATTTTAAAACACGACTCGCCCTCAATCCGTACAGCTTTTGCAAATCCTTGAAGCGAATGTAAGCAGCTGTAAGGCGAGAGCCACTATTTGAAAACCACCCGCCCTCAATCCGTAAAGCTCTTACACGTTTTTAGCAATAATGTGCGCGGCGCTAAGGCGAGAGCCACATTTTGAAAACGACCCGCCCTCAATCCGTGACGCTTTTGCAGTTTTTTTGAACGAATGTGCGCAGCGCTGAGGCAAAATCTACAATTTAAAACCACCCGCCGTCCATGTCTGAATCTGTTGTCAACTTCGAAGCATTAAGGTCCTAAGTTGTGAGGAAGTCTCAGGCGACACGCCCAGGCCGCCCTTTCGACCGGCTTCGGGGCGCGGCAGGGAGATGTTATCTATAAGGGGGAGGAGGAGGAGGGGGAGGAGGAGGAGGCGGATGACGAGGAGGCTGAGGAGGAGGAGCAGGAGGAAAAGGAGGAAGAGGAGGAGGAGGAGGAGGAGGAGGAGGACCGATGAGGAGAGCCCGCGCCCTGGCAGAGCTCTTTTTTTTTCGCCGCCCGGGCGGCCTAGCCCGCCGACGATGCCGAAGTCGCCCGGCGGCCCGGCGCTGCCCGGAGGTGCCGGGCGGCCCGCCGCCAGGTGCGGCGGCGGCGCCGCCGTCGGCGCTTCCGCCGTCGTCGCCGCCGTCGGCGCTGCTGTCGTCGTCGTCGTCGCCGCCGCCGCTGCCGCCGCTGCCGCCACTGTCGCCGCCGCCGCCGCCGCCGCCGTCACCGTCGTCGCCACCGTCACCGTCGTGGTCGCCGCCGTCGTCGTCGTCGTCGTCGTCGTCGTCGTCGTCGTCGTTGTCGTCGTCGTCGTCGTGGTCGTCGTCGTGGTCGTCGTCGTCGTCGTCGTCGTTGTCGTCGTCGGAGATCCGGGGGCGTTGCAATTTGCCCGTGCCCGGCGTTTTCGCCTGGTTTCGGGCCCCAGGACCATCTCGAAATCATCCAGCTCGACAAATGCCGCAGAAGGATGCTGGGCCTAGAACTGAGATCAATCAGTTCCAGAGCGTTTCCGAACGAGCGTTCCTGAACGATCTGAAACGGCCGCGGCGCCCAATGCATGCTGCAAGCGCGCAGAGTCTCATGTAGTTCTCATTCATACTGGTCCGATGTGGTCTCGATTCTGATTCCGTCTCATCTCGGGAGCCAGTCGTGATTTTGCACGACGTCGCACATGTCTCTCGGCCACGCACAGAGGGGGGCAGGGGGAGGGGGGAAGGCTTCTTAGAAGCGCCCCTTGCTTCTCAGAAGGCGTGGGCCTTATCTGTATCTGTAGGGCCGGCGCCTTCCAAGAAGCCTTCCCCCCGTTTTGTCCTCTGGAGGCCTCCGCCCTCCGGGAAGTTTTGCTCTCCCGGGGCCGGCCTGGGGGGACGAGGCCCTGGGCCTCGGGGCCCCACCCGTGCTGCCTGCCTCTCGCGCCCGTGCTCCCCTCCTCGGGCCTCCTGGGAGGCCCTCGTCGCTGCCGCGGGACTCGCCTACCCTGTCAGGTGGCAGCCCTGGGGAGGTCCTGGGAGTGGAGGGTTTCTCCGGAGGGCTTCGGCGACCCGTCCTCCTCCTCCTCCTCCTCCTCCTCGTCCTCCTCCTCCTTCTCCTCTTTTTCTCCTCCTCCTTCTCCTCTTTTTCTCCTCCTCCTCCTCCTCCTCCTTCTCCTCCCCCCCTCGTCGACCTCCCCTCCTCGGGTCGCCTACGGCCCCGGGGGAAGCCGTCCACCGACGAGTACCAGATTCGGTGCCTCTCGGTTTCCCTGCCTGCGGCCCGGGGCCGCTCTCCTTCGGGGCAGTCCTCGGTCCCTGGCAGCAGGATGTGGTCCACTTCGGCTCGATCGATCCGAGTTCCGATCGGCTTCGGCCGGCCCGATCCGAGGCTCGGGCGCCGTTCCTGCTGCGCGTGGGCCTGCGCACCGCGCGCGCCCCCGCCCCAGGGGGAGCACTCGCCCTCCCTCCCCCCTGGCGGGAGGCCGCCCTGGCATGACGGGGCAGTGCCCCCACTTCCTCGCGCTGCGAAACAGAAGCATCACGGCAGGGCTCTTGGCGACTGCTGGCCTCGGGGGGGCCCCACCAGGCCCTAGGACCGGCAGAAAGTGGCTCGGGATGCAAGTTGGCGGCGTGCGGAGGGGGATAGATGGAGCTGGGAAGGCTTCTCAGAAGCAGGGGTGCTTCCAGGAAACCTTCCCCCTACCCCTATGTGTGTGAACACATGTTCACTGGGAGACGTCCGGTGCGCCGTCAGAGACGGCGGCGAGCCTGCGGAGGGCTCGCACGATAAGTGATCTTCCAATATCTACACTTCCGCTTCCTTCTCCTGGTCTGATCGTCCTCAGCCTCCTCTCCCTCCCCAACCTCCTCTCTGTCTCTTATTCTCGTGCTCTGCCCCCTCCACAGCCTCCGCCCCCTCCTCTGGTGTCTTTGTCCTTCTTCTTTTCTCTACCCTTGTGGCTTCTTTGGCCACCTCCTCAGCCTCCTCTCTCTCCTCCTCCTCGCCCTCTACCTCCTCCACTACCTCCACCTCCTCCTCCTCCTCCTCCTCAGCGAAGACGGTTTTCGTCCTCCTGGGCCTCCTGTCCTGCGCGTGGCCGACCAGGACCGTCAACAAAACGGTTCGGCAGGAACAGCCGATCCCTGAGGAAAGGTCTGGACCTCCTCCGGGGGAGCTCACGCTGTGACACAAGAGCGCAGCGCCGGAGCTCTGGTGGCTCGGGTGGGGCCAGAAGTCGAGTATGGGGATCGACTACAGGATTTGTTTACCCCAAAATTGTTTTTTTCGTGGAGTGTGCGAAAAATAAGTGGAGTGCTCGTAGATCCTTCACGACTCGTCGTTCATCAGACGAGAAAGTCCAGTCTGGGGTGAATCAGTTCCGTAGTCGGCCCCCTGCTCGAAGAGGGTCGAGCAGCATCGCTAATGCATCGGCGATCTCGGGCAGGGGAGAAGATCGGGATGCGGCTCGCGCCGCATCGCCGATATCCGAGCATGTTCCTTGGGTGGAGTGCGCAGGGTGAAATCTGAAATGCCGCTTCGATGGCTTTTCGAGGGAATCTGCAAAGGGCGAATCACGAGACGGATTGATCTTCGATGTGCAGACGCCCGTATGGATTTCACCCTGAACCCTCCACCCTGGGAACATGCTCGGGATATGCATCCAGAACCACCGCTGGCGCTGC